CTGGGATCATGACCTGAGCCGAAGGCAGATGCTTAACGGCTGAGCCACCCAGGCGCCCCTCTTTTAATTTCTCTTACTGTTACTTCATTATTAGTATATAGAAATGCAACAGATTTCTGTATATTGATTTTGTATCTTGCAACCTTACTGAATTCATTGATCAGTTCTAGTGGTTTTTTTGGTGGAGTTTTTAGCGTTTTCTATATAAATCATTGTCATCTACAAATAGTGAAAGTTTTACTTCTTTACAATTTGGATACCTTTTATCTAAATCTGATTTCTAAAAGAAAATGGGAACTTTTAGCTAATATAACTTGTAAGTTTAGGAATAAACTGGCTTTAAGCACAGTTCTCAGATAATGCCATGAGAACTCAGTCTTGCACTTTAACTCAGCTCTGTTTTCTTCTTTGTTTCCCCTTCCTTCATGGGCATAATTTCTCAATATAGTGGCTCAGGCACCTCATGCTTATATCCTTAAGAGTTTAATAATCTGTAAGGAAAGAAGGTGATTTGTTCGCTTTGATTCTAGCAGAAGTATTTGGCCTGTTTGATTAGCTCGGCTTGGATCACATGTCCATCCCTAAACCAATCTTCTGGACAGTAGGCTTCAGTGTGGTGGTTGGCTATGCGGGAGTCACGTATCTACCTCTAGAGGCCACAGGTCGTGGTCAGTCCTATTTTAACCAGGTGGTTTCTCAGAGGAATGCTGAATGCTATTATCAGAAGGGGCTGTACATCGTCAGGCGAGCAAAACAACAGATGTTCAGTATGTTAGTGCCTTTTACAAAGAAGTAAGAGAGAAAGCACCAGGAGAGATACTTTCCCTAACCATATAACTGGAAATTCTGACAGTGCCTCCTAAGGGGAGAGTTAGGCAGTGTTTCTTGAGATTCTCCTGTATGGTAGATAAATTCATTTTATGTCTGTATGTGATTTTATATGGTGTGATTTATTTGGAATAATTGTATATTATGTACTGGATTTACAGGTTATAATAAAGGATAATAGTCTTGTGCTGACACCATCACACATCAAAGCCTACATGCTGATGACTCTTCAAGGGTTAGAATATTTACATCAACATTGGATTCTACATAGGGTAAGGTTTTTAACCAAGTATGATTGATTCTTTATGTTTTAGTCAAGTTTTATATAGTCAATTATTACATAAATAGTCTAAATATGTATATTGTTAAAATAAAAATAGAGCCAGGCCATTTTTTCCCACCTTCCTCTGGGTGTTCCCTTCAGTTGTTCCACCAGGTGGTGACATGAAGACTCTAAAATACTATGTAAAATTTAGAAATGGAAGAGACCCAGTTCTTCATTTTTTTCATAGGTGAAGAGCTAAGTTGCTACATCACCTGACCAAGGTTACATATATTTTTTCAAGGTCAGTAGCTGGTAACTGACAGAGTATTGGAATCTACATTTTTGGCTTTAAGTCCGGTGTTCTTGTGCTATACTTATACTGTTGTGACAGAAAAAAAATATAGCAAGAGTCTGGATTAAATTATACAATGCTAAAATATTTTTAGAAAAAAAATATTTCTAGTAACTCTAAAATTTTATGAAGTAATGAAAGTTTCTGAAATGGTTGAGTCAATGTTAGAAACATTCAGCTATTGAAACAAGGCTGAAAATCTCAATGGGTAGATGTTCTTAGGCACTCTATTTAGATAAATCGCTAAGAATATATAATTTATAGTCCGTAATTCTCAGACCTTAAACTTGGAATCCCTTTTAGGTTCTTGTTAGTATCTTTTTAGTATAGATTTTGAGGAATATATTCCTCATCCTCTGTAAGTGCATAATATTTTTATTTACTGAAGTTAATATGTATTACTCTTAATAAATAGCAGCAACTGTTTATTGAGTTCTTAGTCACTACAGTAGGCTCTTTATAGAAAAATGTTAAATTTAATTCTCACAGCAACCCTATGAAGTAGGTAAATTGAAGCTCAGTGACCCAAGATCTTGATCCAAGGTCTCACTAAGTAATATAACCAATCTTATTTTGCTTTGGTAAGATTTTAACGTCAATGAAAAAAATACTGATTATTGTTTAAATTTTGGGTTTTACCCTATTTTTTGCAAAGTTTAAAGTGAAGCCAACTAAATATATCATTATGGTATTCTCTCTCACCTGCTTACTTGTTTATTTAAAACCTCAATGATACAGGATCTAAAACCAAACAACTTGTTGCTAGATGAAAATGGAGTTCTAAAACTGGCAGATTTTGGCCTGGCCAAATCATTTGGGAGCCCCAATAGAGCTTATACTCATCAGGTTGTAACCAGGTAAGAATCACTTAAAAAATTGAAAATTTATATTGTGCAGGATTAATTTGTTTTTTAATTTTTTAAAGATTTTATTTATTTATGAGCATGAGCATGGGGGAAGAGGGAGAGGGAGATGCAGACTCCCTGCTAAGCAGGGAGTCTGATGTGGGACTTGATCCCAGGACCCTGAGATCATGACCTGAGCAGAAGACAGACGTTTAACCCAACTGAGCCACCCAGCCATCCCTGTTTGGCTTTTTTTTGTTTTAAGTAAGCTCTATGTAGGCCTAAGGTGGAGTTTGAACTCAGGACCCTGAGATCAAGAGTCACATGTTGTACCAACTGAGCCAGCCAGGCACCCCCTGCAAGGGTTTAAAAGGATAAGAAAATAGGAATTGGAGACAGTAAGAACAGACAGCTTTTCAGAATAACCAGAGAATGTGGAGGTAGCTGTTAGAGGAAGTTGGGCCTAAAGAAGTTTTTCTTGTTTGTTACTTTGTTTTTAGTTTATTTTTTAAGGCTGAAGAAATTATGGTATGTTCGAATGTTAGTGGGAAAAGTCTAGTGAAGAAGAAAACATTGATGTAGGAGACAGAGAATTTCAGTATCTTTGAAAATGGTACCATGCTACCTGGTTCCCCAAGTTGACATATTAGCATTAAAACAGTTTAGGACAGTTCATCTGTAGTTGGGAAAGGCAGACTGTGTGAATTATAAATGACCATAGGTGAGTCCATGGAAATTTTTTTTCTTTTTCCCTTTTTTTTTTTTCCCCATTTCTTTGATTTTTTTTCAGTGAAGTCAGAAGTAAGGTCATTGGCTTAGAGGAAGGATGGTGTTGAGAGTTTCAGGAGAGAGAAGGTGTTAATCATCTATGATTGGGAGAGTAAATGGACCAAGGATGTGTATAATCTTCAGTATAGAACTGCTTGTTTTTGTTTTGTTTTTTTAAGATTTTTTATTTATTTATTCATCAGAGAAGAGAGGCAGAGGCAGAGGGAAAAGCAGGCTCCCCATTGAGCAGGGCGCCCGATGCAGGACTCGAGCCCAGGACCTGGGATCATGACCCGAGCCAAAGGCAGACGCTTAACCAACTGAACCACCCAGGAGCCCTGGAACTGCTTGGTTTTATAGCCAGTTTTTCTTGAGTTAATATATCCATAAAAGTGAATTTCATCAGTGGGATGATGTTTTGCTGAGGAGTTTTCTCCAAGAAATACTTTAATAATTCCATTTTAAGATTACATTATTTCTTTTTGTTCTTCAGGTGGTATCGGGCCCCTGAGTTACTCTTTGGAGCTAGAATGTATGGTGTAGGTGTGGACATGTGGGCTGTTGGCTGTATATTAGCAGAGCTGCTTCTAAGGGTAAGTCTAGGATTGATGTATACACTACAATATTGTAATAGCTATTTGTATAACTTGTGTAAGAATTATCTTCCCATAGATAATTCTTAGAGAGGAGCACCATTCTTCCAAAAATGGCCAAAAAACAGACCATTTTAAAAAAAAGCTACCTCCTCCAAAGCAAACCTTTTTGTTAATGTTAGATGAGAAGACCTCTCATTGAGGACAATAAAGATTTTATTATAACTCGTTTCTATAATCTAAAATAAAATTATAATAAAACTCATCAGGCTGTAATATTGTAACATCTTTGCTGTAACTAAAAGTGTTAGGATGCACTTTTGTAGTCCTGGGACTTTTTTTGTTTGGGGCTGTTAAAAATTACACTTTAGGAGATATGTAACACCAGCCACCACAGCTGCATTCTCAGCAGAGTGTGTGTAAGATTATTTTAGTTCTGTTCAAACTAAGTAGATGTGGTGGTCCTGTAGCATTTCTCTGGACTGGAACCATCTTAAAATAAAACATCGTCTCGCTACCCGCACTGGAGATAAAGATGGTGCCTTAGAGACTTTTCTTGAGCTATAAAGTTTAGTTTAGCCTTTCTGAATGATGAAGGCAAAGGAATATTGGGGAATCCTTCTGAAGCTGAGAGTGTTTTCCTCCCTGCCTTCCAGTTTCCAACCCCTACTCTTCTCCTCAAGTGATATGTATTTAAAGAAATGTGAACCCGAGACATAAAAATACAGGTTTTTAGTTCCTTGAACACAGAAAATAGCTTCTATATGCCACAAAGAAAAGTTACCTTCTCAAACATCTTTTTTAGTTTGGTGTGAGTTCTCTGCATCATTTGGAGAAGCTTGCTCCTCTGGGTGCTTGCAGAAGAAACACACATTTAGATTTGAAGATGAATAGTAATCCCTGTGCTAGTGATGGGTCCTGTGGATGAGCTGTGTGACAGCTGTGCTACTCACGAAAACACAGAGTTTACATTTGAGAATCTGTCAGCTCCCCCAAACACAGTTCATTCATTACCAAGATATAACCATAGCCCCTGGGGCACCTGGATGGCTCAGTCGTTGGGTGTCTGCCTTCGGCTCAGGTCATGATCCCAGGGTCCTGGGATCGAGCCCTGCATCAGGGTCCCTGCTCTGCGGGAAGCCTGCTTCTCCCTCTCCCACTCCCCCTGCTTGTGTTCCCTCTCTCACTGTGTCTCTCTCTGTCAAATAAATAAAATCTTTAAAAAAAAAATAGCCCCTAATGTTATGAATTATCATTCCATTGAGAAAGTAAGTGGAGAGAGACAAGTTAAAAATGAACAGGGGCGCCTGGGTGGCTCAATCATTAAGCGTCTGCCTTCGGCTCAGGTCATGATCCCGGGGTCCTGGGATCGAGCCCCACATCGGGCTCCTTGCTCGGCAGGGAGTCTGCTTGGAGCTCTCCCACTCCTCCTGCTTGTTCCCTCTCTTGCTGTCTCTCTCTCTCTCTCTGTCAATTAAATAAATAAATAAAATCTTTAAAAAAAAAAAAAACAGGTTGGAGGGGCACCTTAGTGTCTCAGTTAAGTGTCCGACTCTTGATTTCAGTTCAGTTCATTATCTTAGGGTCGTGTGGAGCCTGCTTGGGATTCTCTTTCTCTCTCTACCCCTCCCCACCCTTGTCCCGCTGTTCACACTCTCTTTCATTCTTTTTTTTTTAAGATTTTATTTATTTGAGAGAGAGAGTACTAGCAGGGGTGAGGGGCAGAGGGAGAGGGAGAACAGATTCCCTGCTGAGCAGGGAGCCTGATGTGGGACTCGATGCCAGGACCCTGGGATCATGAGCTGAAGGCGGCTGCTTAACCGACTGAGCCACCCAGGCGGCCAAGTGATAATTATATCTTAAAGATTTTCAATATGGCAGGGCAAAAACTCCCCCCTCACCCTTATAAATTATCTTGAAAAAGGTATATAAATGCCATGTTTGAAACTAGGAGATGCCCATAATACTATGCCAGAAGATGTAAAACCAGAAATGAAGGCGGCTTAAATTTTACAGATAAAGAAGCCAGTTTTGGCTAGAGGCAGTTTTGGCTTGGCACACAGAATGCTAAAGTTGCTTAGTTATTGAGAAGCACCTGTGATCATTGATGACAATAATGAGGTATAAGACTAAAAACTGGGTTGGTCAAAAAAAAATTGTATATGGGCCGTTAATACCAGGGTCCCTCTACACAGCTAGGTCACTTCCCTTTGTCCAACTGTACTTCCACCTTATTTATACCTCCACTAGAGACAGGTTTATTTTCTAAAGAAATTGAAACACAAATCTCCAGACATAGCCATTCTTAGACACAGTGGAGGATGTGGGTGAAAACATGCAAATTACATAAAAGTCTGTATACTGAACAGTAAAACCTTCAATGTAGGTCCCTGCTCAGCTCCCAGAACGCTGGTAGCCTTTATAATAAGCTGTAGTAACTCTTTAACCCAGGCAAAAGATTAGAGGATCCTTTACTGGAAGAACTGAGTGGCCCCAGAGAATAGATCCACAGATAACTGGCATTAAACTCCCCACCCAGTCTTTCTAGAGAAAGCCTCTGAGTTCTAATCAATGTTTTTAATACCTTACCCTTGAATGGTTAGTCAGTGATTACCACATAGTTATCAAGGATTTCCAGATACTTAATGAAGGCTTCCAGCATGTAGGAATTATAAGGTAATTGGCAAGGATCATTAGATATGGGATGCCTGGGTGGCTCAGTCGGTTAAGTGTCTGCCTTCAGCACAGGTCATGATCCCAGGGTCCCGCTCCGGCTCCCTGCTCAGCGGGGAGTCTGCTTCTCCCTCTCCCTCTGCCCCTCTCCCTGCTCATGCTCTCTCTCTCACTCTCTTTCAAATAAATAAAATCTTTTAAAAAATAAATAAAAAAGAAACTTGGGAAAAATAGGTAGCAGGAGAAAATTAACCCTCCACCCCTACCACACCTTCAGAGAACTAAGAGAATATACTGCATCTGTAAAACAAGAACATGATGCTCTATTACTAAAGGAACAGTCAAAGAATAAGGGATACTTGAAAATTTCCACATAGGGTAACTAAAAGCAAATAGAAACAGTGGAAAGATTGGAAAATTAGCTAAAGAATTCTTTCATCAAGTAGGACCAAAAAATAAAACTAGCAGATTGATCCAGGATTGATCCTAGAATATAACAAAAAAGAACAAAGAAAATGTAAGATAGGAAATTCACAAGACAATAGCTCAGCATTGGTGGATATGAATTGACTTAAAGTGCCAAAAAGACTGCACGGTGAATGAAAAAAGACCCATGCCAAGGCATATTGTGAAATTTCAGGGTACCAGAGTATAAGAAAAATACTTTATTTCCACAGAGAGGAAAACCAGAGAGCTTACATAGAAACCATAATGAAGGATTAGGGAAAAGAATGGCATCTGACTTCTCAATAGTAACACTGAAATCTGGAAGACAATAGAACACATTGTGGAGGAAAATAATTTTCAACCTAGAATTTTGTGCCCTTTTGTATTTTCAGTTAGCTTTGAGAATAAATACAATTTATAACACTAAAAATTTTACATCTGCTTCCTTTCTTAGGAATTTATTGGAAGCTGTGCTCACTATTACATGACAGTAAATCAAGAGAAAGATGTGGGATCCCGAGGGGCGCCTGAGTGGCTCAGTAGGTTAACCGTCTGCCTTTGGCTCAGGTCATGATCCCAGAGTCCTGGGATTGAGCCCCATGTTGGGCTCCCTGCTCAGTGCGGAACCTGCTTCTCCCTCTCCTCCCCACCTGTGTGCTCTCTGTCACTGTCCCTCTCTCTCCAATAAATAAAATCTTTAAAAAAAAAAAAAAAGAAAGATGTAGGATCCCAAGAACATGAGATTGAGTACAGAAAAGGGGTGAATAGAATTCCTCATTTAATAGTGAAAGGAAGTTCTGAGGAAGCAGGTGTGCATCAGGCCTAGAAAGCAACTAGTCCAGATTGAAGCAGAAGGGATGAGAGTTTCAGCAGGGGAGTCTCTGGGGAGAAAAATGAGCCTCAGTGTGCCCACCAACAAGCTTCAACAGTTTTTAACACATGACCAGCTTTATTTTATAATTCTCTTACACCACATTTTTTTTTTGCCACAAATCCCAGATATGCTATTTTCTTCATACTACTATGTCTCTAAAAGATAAGATTTTTTTTTATTATGACTACAATACCATTATCATCTCAAGAAAAAGAAGGATGATAAATCAATACCAGTCCGTGTTTAGATTTCCCACTTTTTCTTATAAATGTCTTTTATAGTTGGTTTATTCAAGTTGAGATCCATGATTTTACATCATGGGACGCCTCACTGGCTCAGTTGGAGGAGTGTGTGATTTTTTTTTTTTTTTAAGATTTATCTAGAGAGACAGCGTGAGCAGGAGGGGCAGAGGAAAAGAGAGAATCTCATGCAGACTCCATGCTGAGTGCAGAGCCCAATGCAGGGCTTGATCTCACAAACCTGAGATCACAACCTGAGCTGAAACCAAGAGTCGGACACTTAACTGACTGCCACACAGGCACCTTGGAGTGTGTGACTCTTAATCTCAGGATCATGAGTTTGAGCCCCACATTGGGTATAGAGATTATGTAAATAAATACTAAAAAAAAAAATTTTTTTTTTTACATCATACTAAAACACCCATCCTTAAAATCTGATTAAATTGCCAGCTTGCCCACAAAATTATAAGGCTATGATGATGAGTGTCCCTTTCTTCAGATCTTTTTTTTTTAAGATTTTATTTATTTATTTGAGAGAGCACAAGTGGAGAGGGGAGCAAAAGGAAAGGGAGCTCAACACGGGGCTCGATCCCAGGAACCTGGAATCGTGACCTGAGCTGAAGGCAGATGCTTAACCGATTGAGCCACCCAGGCCCCCCTCTTCAGATCTTACAGTACAATTTACTTTAGTTGTCTGCAAAGTAGGAGATTATCTTTTGAAGTATGAGAAGAAAATATTAGCATGCCTAAAAATAGTCATGCAGTGT